ATTACCCCTAACCCTAGCAGATGTCCCTTTTGTTGCAATTGGTCCTGTAATATTGATCACTGCCTACTGCAATGTGCCCCTATCAAGAACATTTGGACCAAAATGGCAATTGCTTTGAATGGACCACTGCTTAGAGATAACATCAGCTTCAAACAACATCTTATTGAGTGGAATATACGGTCCTCCAAATCCTCACTAAAAGGGAATCTTAGAATGGTGGTACCAGGTATTATTGGATTTTGCACTTGGAAACACTACACCTCAATCATTTATGGAAATTCCAATCTAAACATCATAGCAATTGAAGAGGAGATATGGTCAACTCTACAAACCTAGTGCTGGAAGTTCCGTCGCAAGAAGTGGATGGCCCATGACAAGGACCTCTCGTTGATGGGGATCCAAACTTTCGCCAAGAGAGGAAGAAGCTGTAGGGAGTGCTTTCATAGAAGATGACTTGCTTCCACTGATGGTCTTGTGTATATTTCTTCCCTTGTTTTCTGTATTTCCTTTGCAACTTTCGGGGCTTCGGCCTAGTCCTCCCCGAACGTGGTCTGAATTTTTAATAAAATCAGGTAAGGTTGCCTAGACCTTACCCCACTTTTTTTTGGTGGTGCTTTTCTGGGATATATATATATATATATATATATATATATATATATATATATATATATATATATATATATATATGAGATTTTACACACACAAAAAGGTTAACATAATAATGTCTCAATCACCTTTCATCCCGTTTTAGAGACACTGCATACACCAAGATAAGGACTAAACCCTCCAAACTCCCCCAAACATATTTTATTTTTTATGTTGGCAATAGGATCTAAAGATCCTTATTAAATCACAAAGCAGAAAAATGACTCAAAACAAATTAACGAGTTTATAACACAGCGTGTGGAGGAAAAATTACATTGTAGGGGCTTCAGTATTGGCAGTTATAACAGAAATCCTGGCAGAAACCTCTTCATCAGTTGCAGCACTTACGTAAGACCTGAAGATGCAAAATTAAGGAATATATAGTCAAACCTATCAAAGAAATGCAAAAACAAATGCCAAGTACAAGAAAAACACTCCCCCACGGCCCCACCCCGAGAGGGGGGAGAGGGAGAGATGAAATTACTAAGTGCATGTTACTTAATATTACTTCCTATATTTTTCTTAATAAAGAAGTTTTGGTCTTAAGCATCATATACTATCTTTGATTTCCACTAGTGCATCAACAAGTCTAAATTAATGAGCCCAAGGCCTGCTTTACCTTTTTTGGGCCATAATATTAATTTCTACCATTTTGTTCATAATAAATCACTTTTAGTAGTAGTTTGTATTTCCATGTATTTTCACATTTCCATCATATGATATGTTCGCGGCTATCACTCCTCGTTATATGCATGGTCTCTAAGGAGGAAGAACTCCGACCTATGGTGATAAGAGAAAAAACTCACACATGCCATAATAACAGAGAAGGAAAAAAGAAACTTTTACTCCCTCCGTTAGGATTTCGTCGTCCACTTTCTTCTTTCTGTTTGTCTGGAATTAGTTGTCCGCTTTCCATATACAATAAAGAAATCATGATGAATGCTCGAAAATATCCTAGAGATGAGGAATGAGTATTTTGATGACTTGAATGAGTGACAGATGCATTTGAAGGACTTATTAAACTCATGTCTTAAAAATGAGAGCTTTTAGAAAGTGAACAACAAATTCTGAACGGACAAAGTAATTCTTTATTCCAAAATAATCATAAAAGATAAAAAATGCCTATAGAGGCTTACCGCTTACATTCCTAAACGAACAATGAAACTTAGAAAATGACTAGTTGCTATATAATTTCCTAGCCAATAACTCTTTTTTTTGGACTTCCTAGCCAATAACTAACAGTGAACAAAATAGGAAACTACCACCTCCGTCCCAAATTAATGGTTAGATTTCGGTTTACGATTTTTTATTGTAGTTATTTTTAATTCAATTAATTTCACAATTGTTGTAAAAATAAAATACAAAAATTATATATTTAAAATTTATATCAAAAGTTCTACAATGCAATAGGTGACATTACACTATTATTTTATCAAAAGAATAACAAAAATAGGCAAAGAAAGTGAATAAAGTTTCTCTATGAATAGTGAATTCAACTCTTATTTTGTGATGGAGGGAGTAAAAGCTAATGGGAAACTACAACTGACATTAATATGAAACAATGATTATTATTGTTATTATTGTTATTAATCATTTAATCTTAATAATATAAATAATAACTAATAATAATAAGATAAAAATGTCGACGGAATCATTACACCCCTTCTAGAGATCAAGCTTGCAATCTTGAACATAGCACTGAAGGATTTCACCAATAGAAAGTCAGTGTTAGCCTTGTATCCTTGAACAAGATTGAAAGCTCTTGGCAGTTTTGGACTAAATTGAAGGTGAGAACAATCGTTTGGAAAGAACCATGAAAGACAATGGTGAATTAGGATGATTTTGTCATACAAACATGGATCCCAGAAGTCTAGATTGTAGCTAGTCTTTGAGAGTTTTTCAAGCGAAAGAGACTGCAGTGTTGGTGTTACAAAGAGTGTTACCAGCACTCATGGATAAAGTTGTTATAGGCGGGGTTGCTTCAATAGAAGTTTCTGGTGGGTTGTGGATATCAATTATCTCTTCAGGATGGTGCACAATTTTGGATTCATCCATTGAGATTTGCAATATGCGCCATGAGCGATCAAGAGTTGGGTGAGCATCGTCTAACAAAAACTTTACATTGCAAGCTATCTATGAAATGATACAAGGACTTCTGGACAACATTAACCCAACCTTGAAAGGTACTAGACAAACTTAATCCCGCATTTCAAAAAGCATGTCATTCAGCCAACCTTCAAAACCTTATTATTTTCATTATACCAACACCGCCTCATGCTATATAGATATCAATTTTATAAATGACGTGTCACCCATAAATTTCTTTACACGAAAATAAAAACACAACAGATTCACACATATCACCTAATTATGATCCAAAGACTATCGACTTATTGTGGATGATTAAGTTTGGAAAGTGGAAAGTGGTTGAAATCTCGCGCCAGGGGGGAGCTTGCGTCGCCGGTCCAACCTTTGTGTTGAGCTTGACTAGAGACACTTGTTCCCGCCTAGCATGAGTTGGCGATCTCTTCCCAATTTTCATTCTCAATTGGAGAAAGTACATAGACTCTAGTCATAAGTAGGGATATGTGTGGATGTGTTTGCCATTTTTATTACCATATCAAAAATATAGGATGCAAAACTCAGTTCTAACTAGCCTAACTCGATGGTGGTATAACAAAAATGATAAGGCGTGAATGTCAGCTCAATGACTTGCTTTTCGAAAAGTGGGATTAATATCGTCCATTGCCCTAAAAGGTTGAATTTAAGGTCTGTTCTTTACTTCTTTTCCTCAAAAATTTCATAGTTGAATATTGGAAGAAACTGGAAGGAGTGGGAAAATTGGAAGGAGTTAGAAAAAATGGAAGGAGTTGTAAGAAATTAGAATGAGTTGGAAGAATCTGGAAAGAGTTGGAAAAAACTGGAATATGTTAGAAAATATTGGGAAAAAATAAAAATTGTTGAAAAAAATCAAAAAAATGTTGAAATTGGTACGGAGTATTTGGTTTACATTAAAGTATCTCGTATCCCATATCCCATAAACACCATAACTCCCTTAACGTAGTATACAAATGATAAATGAATTGTAAATGCATAGTTATAACAACCCACAATCTTAAGAACTGTTTCTTTAAGCATTAGCCGTCAAAACATTGCTGCAAAAAGGAATTGAGTTGCTTGCATATTGTTACGGGTGTTAGCCCATGGGCCATTCCACGGCCCATTTATACTAGTTATTGTTTTCTTATTTCTTGTTTATGTATAATCTCTCAATATGAGACCCGATATATATGTTGATGAGGATTTGGAGATGAAATAGAAAAGTTATTACCTAATCTATTCTCTTTTAGCTCTCTCTCTCTCTCCATAATTGTTGTAACAGCCTCGAGACCCTCTTCTCAATCCGAGAGGTCTCCTCGCCTGCAACATTGGTAACAAAGCTCTGATCCTGGACCGGAGGCTTGGCGTTGACAAGGAGCAAGATGGAAACACTGGATGAAGCGCTCAAAGCTTTGATTGATCAGCAGAAGCTGTTCTCGCGCCAGATGGAGGATCAAAATAGGCAGATTGATGATCAACAACAGATGTTCAGTCAGATGATGGAGCAAATTAAATCGATCACAAATAGGGAGTCATCGCACCCAGAGAGCGATCTAGATCACACGAGAAGGAGGGACACTTCAAATCACAGACAGCTCCACTTTAATCCCAAGGTAGAATTCCCTCAATTTGATGGATCTAACGTGAGAACTTGGATTAAGAAATGTGTGAAATACTTTATGTTGTGCCAAATTCCGGATGAGAAGAAGGTAGATCTAGCCTCCCTATATATGATTGGAAAAGCTGAAGTGTGGTATCATAATTATACAATAGGGAGGGCCAATATTGCTTGGCAAGACTTTGTGGTAGATGTTAGCACCAGGTTTAAAGATGAACTGGGGTTGAAAATAGTGGAGGAATTCAATAAGTTATAGTAGATGGGAAATCTAGAGGATTATATAGACAGATTTGAGGAGTTGAGGGCTTGTTTATTGCAAAAAAATCCTCTGCTGCGAGGTGATCATTTTTTGGACAGCTTTATAGGGGGACTCAAACCTCACCTTAAGGCATTCGTAAGAGCACTCAAACCTGGGACATTGGCCGAAGCTATTGATTATGGTAGGTGTCAGGAGGAGACGGTGTCTGCCATTAAAGGACAAGAAAAGGGCATCAAATCTCAGTTTACTAACAAGGGCATTCTACCAACACTTGTAGCCAAACCGGTGAGTTCTGTTCCTATAGCAACCCAACCTAAGTTCATTCCCGCTGCAATCAGGGCTGAAAAGATAGCCAAAGGACTGTTATTATTGTGACAACCCCTTGATCTCAGTAAATTCCATCAGTGGCAATCAAGGGTTCCAGACCATGAGGGTGACAGGGTATTATGGACTAAAGCCTTTGCATATCCTCATAGACTCGGGCAGTACGCACAACTTCTTGGACATCTCCTTAGCCAAGAAGTTGGGATGTAAGATGGATTCCATTGCAGCCAAATCAGTGATAGTTGCAGATGGGAACCAAATTCAGTGTAAGTTTATGTGCCTTGGGTTTGAATGGAGACTTCAGAGAACCACCTACCAGTCTGACATGTTGTTGATTCCACTGGGGGATGTGACATGGTGTTGGGCGTGCAGTGGCTAAGTATGTTGGGTCTAGTGAAGTGGGATTTTAGTAAATTAGAGATGGATTTTTCTTATAAAGGACACAGACAGGTTCTAAGGGGCATGAAACAGCAGGTAGCTGAAGCCAGACCTAACAACTTAACCAAGATTCTAAACAATTCTAGTCAGTTATGCTTGTTGCACATCTACACTCCATGTGAGGATAACACTAGTAAACAACAAGAGAACACTTCAGAGGGAACTCCTATTCTCATGCAAGAGCTATTGGAAGAGTACGAGGACCTGTTCCAAGAACCCCGAGGACTACCACCTTACAGAGGAGTTTTCGACCACAGTATTCCACTACAGCCTAATGCCAGCCCAGTGAATATTAGCCTTATAGATACCCTGTAAGACACAAAGATGTGATTGAGCAGCTGGTCAGTGAGATGAAAAATAGTGGAATAGTGCGAGATAGTGGAAGCCCCCTATGCTTCTCCAGTAGTATTAGTTGGAAAAAAAGATGGGAGTTGGAGACTTTGTGTGGACTATAGAGAACTGAACAAGCAGACAGTTAAGCACAAGTTTCTTATACCGGTGGTGGATGAACTCATCGATGAATTGGCTAGAGCCATTGTGTTTAGCAAAATTGACTTGAGGGCTGTGTATCATCATATAAGAGTAGCTACTACATATATCTACAAAACTGCTTTCAAGACTCACAATGGCCATTATGAATTCTTGGGTTATGCCATTTGGCCTAACCAATGCCCCTGCTACTTTCCAAGGCCTAATCAACCATGTCTTCAGAAACCAACTCAGGAAATCGGTATTAGTGTTCTTTGATGACATCCTCATTTACAGCCCTACATTGGCACTGCATTACACACACCTGAGAGGAGTATTCAATAGTATGAGGGAAAATGATTTGTTGGCAAAACGAAGTAAGTGCTCCTCTGGAGTATCAAGAGTAGAGTACTTGGGCCATTACATTTCCGGGCAGGGAGTTTCTACAGATCCCAGCAAGATAGAGGCCATAAAAAATTGGCCTAGCCCCACCAATCAGAAGGAATTGAAGAGCTTCTTAGGTCTTGCTGGCTATTATAGAAAATTTATCAAGGGCTATGCAACTATAAGTAAAGCTCTCACTAATTTGTTGAAGAAAGGAAATTACCATTGGCCTGAAGAACCCAACTTAGCTTTCCAAAATTTGAAGGAGCCTTGTGTAGTGCTCTTGTGTTGGAACTTCCTGATTTTTCCAAGCAGTTTGCGGTTGAGACTGATGCATCCCAAGGAGGAATTGGAGCTGTTCTAATGCAGGATCACCATCCCATAGCATACATCAGCAAATCATTAGGGCCTAGGTGGCAAGCCTTATTGTGTATGAGAAAGAATTACCGGCAGTAGTTTTTGCTATGAAAAAATGGGAACAATACCTGGTTTATCAACCTTTCACTATTAAGATTGATCAAAAAAGTCTTAAGTGGCTACTTGAAAATAAAATTTCTACACCCTTCCAACAATTCTGGTTGTCCAAATATATGGGGTACACTTATATTATTCAATATAAACAAGGGAAAGAAAATTTAGCTGCAGATAGCCTTTCTCGACACACTGGGGCAGAAATCCTATGTTTGGCACTCTCTACCATTGATTCTTCCTTGCTCGAAGACATTAAAGGCAGTTGGTAGAATGACTCCACACTTCAAGGATGTATACAAAACTTACAGCAAAACCTACCAGTACACCACTATACTTGGGAAAATGACCAGTTGAGAAAGAAAGGCAAATTGGTCATAGGGGCTAGTGATACACTCAAAGCTAAGTTACTTCAATGGGGACATTCCTCATCTGTAGCAGGACACTCTGGTAGGGAAGCAACATTGAGAAGACTCAAATCCTTTTTCTACTGGAAGGGCATGAACAAAGATGTTTCCCACTTTGTGAGAAGGTGTCTCACCTTGCAAATATGATAATGCTGCCTATCCAGGCCTCCTTCAGCCCCTACAGCTCCCGACAGAGGTATGGAAGGATATTTCCATGGATTTTATAGAAGGGCTTCCTAGATCAATGGGTAAGGATGTTATATTTGTGGTGGTAGATAGAATGAGTAAGTATGCCCATTTTGTGTTGCTTTCCCACCCATATATAGCTCTAGAAGTGGCTTAATGCTACCTGGATAATGTGTTTAAATTGCATGGGATGCCAAGCACTATAGTCTGTGACAGAGACACTGTGTTTTTAAGTCAATTTTGGCAGGCCCTATTTTCCGTTCATGGAGTTGAGTTCTTGATGTCTTCTGCCTATCATCCACAAACAGACGGGCAGACCGAAGTGGTGAACAGATGCTTGGAGACGTACTTGAGGTGCATGAGCTCCCAGAATCCTGAAAAGTGGTGTAAATGGATTCCCCTCGCTATTAGGTGGTACAATATGACCTACCACTCTTCTATCCACATGACACCGTATGAAGCAGTATACTGTCAGCCTCCCCCTATCCATTTACCCTACTTGCCTGGATAGACGAGAATACTGTTGAGGCAGTGGATAGGTCCTTTCAAAAATGGGAGGGGATGATCAAACAATTGAAGCATCAACTGCAAAGGGCTCAAAACAGAATGTAGCAAATGGCCAATCAGCATAGATCAGAGAGGGAGTTTGCTATAGGAGATTGGGTATGGTTAAAATTGCAGCCTTACCGACAAATAAGTGTGCAGCCGAGGCATAATCAGAAGTTGGGACCTAAGTATGTTGGCCCCTTTTCGCTAGTATCAAAGGTGGGCAAGGTGGCCTATAAGCTTCAGTTACCCCCGCATGTTAAGGTTCATGCAATTTTTCATGTGTCGCAACTGAAGAGGTTTAGGGGGGAGCTACCTGCTGAGCCACACATTCCTTACTGGTTCCAGGGCACAAATAGTCGAAGTCATCCTCTTCGTGAAGCTATTCTCTCTAGAAGGATCCAAAAAAAAGCAAACAAGGCTAGAGTGCAATTTTTGAAGTGGCTGGGAGTGGTCTGAATCCTTCGCACAACGCTTTCCAGATTTCCAGCTTTGAGGACAAAGTCACGCTAAGGAGCGAGGAATGTTACGGGTGTTAGCCCATGGGCCATTCCACGGCCCATTTATACTAGTTATTGTTTTCTTATTTCTTGTTTATGTATAATCACTCAATATGAGACCCAATATATACGTTGATGGAGGATTTCGAGATGAATTAGAAAAGTTATTACCTAATCTATTCTCTTTTAGCTCTCTCTCTCTCTCCCTAATTGTTGTAACAGCCTCGAGACCCTCTTCTCAATCCGAGAGGTCTCCTCGCCTGCAACACATATGTACGATTCTTAAAACCTACTATAAATATTGAACAAATGAATTTTAAAATATGAGTGAAATTTTTCATTTTTATACATTAGAATTCTATAATGAGAATAAAAAGAAGAAAAAAATTAAAATTTTGATTTTCTGAAAACCCAACAAAGACAGCAATAACAACACAAATTTGCTAAAACAAGATCTTTCTTCTCCTCTCTTACTAAGCATGGAATCATCCAAACATGTATACACTATTAAATGACTAACAAGCCCAATACTCAATACATGAATTCTCCTAATAATGTGGGCATTCCAAAAATACAAGGAATGATTATTAGGAATATTAATGTTGTTTAATATTCTCTTTCCTAATGATATTTATATACCTTAACCTAATGGTATTGGTTCTAATAGCATGATCCCTATATAAATGCCTATGTACTCTGTTACCATAACTCAATAAATACAATTATTCATTCAAGAATACAGTATACTCCCTCCGTCCTATATTGATCTTCTTGCTTTGACTATTGTTCATTTTTAGTGGGTGTTGACTCTCACATTGAAATGTCTAAACTACCCTTATATCTTACTGATATCACCATCCCTGCCCAGCCCACCGCCGCCCCACGAGAAGAAAAAGATTCAGTACAGATCTATTGGATCTAGCTCCCACCATTGCCGTCTGCTCTACAATTGCAGCTAGCCCCACAGATCTAACACAGATCTAGAAGAAGAAGAAGAAGAAGAAGAAAGAGGTACAAAGGCAAGATTTGAGGGAAGACGAAAGAAATAGAAGGAGGTTGAAGATGAGAAGAAGAAGACGACGAAGGAGAAGGGGGGGGAGAGAGAGAGGTAGAATAAATGTTTTAAACTTTTAGGGGTATTTTAGTCATTACATGTGTATTTAAAGTGTGCGGGAAGATGATTTTAGGACGGAAAAAAGGGAAGTGGGAATATGATTTTAGGACGGAGGGAGTAACTTTTAAATGGTGTCAAAGCACATTCCTTAAAAGGAACCCTCTGTTATCGATCACGTTTTGACATAATCAATACAATTATTTGTTTAATAACACAAGTTACACAAAGTGTTGCTTAAGAGCAATTTTTTTTTTGCAGTATAGACTTATCCTATATAACTATATAAACCCTCTTTGTACTCTGTTTACCGTAATTCCATCAACTTATTTCTTCAATAATGCAAAATCTACAACAACAACAATAAAAATAATAATAATAACAATAATAACAATAAACAACAACAACCCAGTTGAATCCCACAAGGGTAGGGTCTGGGGAGGGTGTGTGTACGCAGATCTTACCCCTACTCGAAAGTAGAGAGGCTGTTTCCAAAGAGACCCCCGGCTCAACGTCGAAAGTTGCATTGCTTGATAACTGCTACTTCATTAATTAAAGAAGCGCAGACAGTTTAGAGATCCATTTTGATTTATTCCATCACACACCAAAGCCAAAAAATGGTGAAATTTTGGCTCCATCAGAGATGATGGAAAGAATAATAACAATAATATGAAAAAATAAATAACAAGCAAATGAAGATAAGATACAAGAATCATAATGTGGTACTCCCTTCATCGGGAATTAGTTGTCCATTTTCTTGTTTCTGTTCATCCAAAATTAGTTGTCCCTTTTCTCGATCCAATAAAAAGAAATTATGATGAAAAGTCTAATATATTCAAGAGATAGGGAGTGAGCATTTCAAATGAAAAAGTGAAAAACTCATTTGAAATATTTATTTGACATTTTAAGATCAATTTTTTTAAAAAATGAGATTTCTAGAAAGCCAACAACTTAATCGAGACAAAGGGAATAATTGTTAACATGAGCACCGGGAAAGGGGGGAAAAGTTTGAGGATTATGCAGAGTGAATAAAATATGATTTTTCTTTCATTTTATATGCTTCTTTAAATAAAATTCTTAACTTAAGAGAAAAAACTACAAAGCTCAAAACATGTAATATCTCTACAGCAAAATTTGGGCCAACAAAAAAGCACATGTCTTCACTAAAGGGCACTACTGATCAACATTATTAAAATGGACTAATAAATTAGAAGAATGAGGTAATCATAAAATAATTAGAAATGGTTAAATTAGAGAGAAATTGGAGAAAAAAATATTTTAAAAATGGATTTATGAGTTGGAAGAATAAAAACCAACAATCACGAGTAAGAATTTAGCAGATGGTTACATACAGTAGAAAACAAAGAGCATCACTTCAAGCTTCTTTATTCATAAAATAGGAACTAAACCTTCGGTGATGAACTGGAGGATGGAAGAGTGTGAGAAAATGGGGAAGACGATTATTGGACAATCCGATGAAACCCAAAGCGCGGACAGACAACGAACCCCTAGCAAATTTAAAAAATTAATTCCTTTATTGACATTGTGGTGACAATCAAAAGCTATAGCGTGAGAGGAAATATCAGAGGAAGGCGACGCGTTACCGCAAGAACAAACTCGCGGCAGCCATGAAGGCTGAAGACTACTGTAATTGACGTTTCCGGACGCCTTGTCAGAATATCATCACTATATAACCCATTGGACATTTTGTACCCCAAGAATTTATAACTACTCCCTCCGTCTCAAAATATTCACAACATTTGCTTTTTCAGCAGTCGTGAGAACTTTTGTTTATTTCTACGTTTTCATTGATTATTTGATAAAATAAAATACTCTTGACATCTCTTATTTTGAAGAACTTTTCATGTAGTTTTTAAATATGTAAATTTTATTTTTTATTTCCATACCAATATGTAAATAAAATGAATAGAAACAACTTGATATTTTGCCTCGGGAATACAAGTGTGGCAAATATTTAGGGACAGAGGGAGTATTTTATACACTGCAGGGATGTACTAATATTTTGTGTTAGTGTAATGCTAATTTTTGTTAACGCACCAACACTTTGTGTCAGTAGAAATTTTTGTTAACGCACCAACACTCAGTGTGAACCATCAAAATATTGGTGCATATCTTTGGTGTACAAATGAGGTATAAATTTTGGGGTACATGTAGGATTCTCCTTAATTTTATGCTTTTATGTTGTTAGGCTTAGAGAAAATATGTGTGATTTTGCATTTTGGAGTTTTACTATGTGATTTATGATTCTCCATTGTATTTAGGTAGATATTGTTTTTCAAACATCAACATAAGACTTGGGCTTTTGAGTTGTTTCATAGTACTAGTTGGTACATCCAACACCCCTTGACATTGTCATCCAACATTAGACTTTGGTGCTTTACTTATTTGAATTATGCTTTTTAAGTCTATTTTTACTAATTGATCTTGACTTTATTCTCTAGGTAATTTAACACCTTCTGAAAGCAAGGAAGTTGAAGGTAGAAAAAAAGATTGTGGGCAAAAAAGGTTGGTGCTTATCTTTCTCAAACACACACCACTTTAAACTTATTAATCTAAAATTTTAAACTTACGCTTTCCGTGTTCTTGTTTTAAGGAAAGTCCACATCTTTTATGTTTAAAAGAGTCACCCGCTACCATTGTTCCTAACGCAATCATTAATAGACCAAAACGAGATATTGCGACTATTTTGGAAAGTATAGTTTATGACAAAGATTACAAGACATGTATCTCTTTGAAATGGCCTTTTTAACCTTTTGTGAAGGTTAACTAGTGAGCAAAAAAGCTATTGAAGAGTTGGACAGGTTCTAACAGATTCATTGTGCACCACAATTATGCTACTTTGGGACAAGGTGCTTTGTTCTAAGAGATCAAGATCAAAACGAAAAATTTGAGGCCAAACGTGATGAAGCTATATTTGTTGGTTACTCTCCCAAAACCAAAGCATATCTAGTATACAACAAAAGAACTAAGTTGATGATCAGTTTCAAAGCAAGGTATATAATGACTTAAGATACATCACCTCTCCAACTAAAAAACCAAAACAGGCAGAAGGTGACAAAGAAAATGATGAGGAAGCTGAAGTTCTAGAAACAATAGATATTCCAACACACATTTAGAAGAGTAATCCCATTGAGAACACAAAAGAAAAAGATTGACTTTTTATAGATGATTAAAACTTAGTACACGTCATTTGTAAATCCCAAGAATGTCAAGGAGGAACTCACTAATGAGGCATAGATCAATGCCATTCATGAAGAACTGGAGAAGTTTAAACAAATAGAGTCTGGGAGTTGGTGTCTAAGCCGAAAAATATCAATGTGATTGGATCAAAGTGGATCTCCTGAAACAAAACTGACAATGAAGGTAATGTGATTAGAAATAAGGCCCGACTGGTGTCACGAAGATACACTCAGGTAGAAGGAATTGACTTCGAAGAAACATTTGATCCTGTTGCCTGACTACAGTCTGTACGCATGCTTAGCACTATGGCATGTGTGTTTGATATGAAGTTGTACGAGATGGATGCCAAAATAGCTTTCTTGAATAACTATCTAAAGGAGGAGGTCTACGTTGCTCAACCAAAAGGGTTTGATTATGCAAGACATTCAGAACATGTCTATAAGCTCCAGAAGGCATTATATGGGCTAAAAAAGCTCCGTGTGCATGGTATGAAAGGCTCACCTCTTATTTCTCTAAGGAGGGCTACAAGCAAGGGGAAGCTCACAAGCACAATATCTACATTAGGTACGCATCAGACATACTTATTGCTCAGATTTAAATATGTAGATGATATTGTATTTGGGTCAACTTCTAAGGAATATGTGTTTGACAACTTGGTTAAAACTATGGAAATAGAGTTGGAAATGAGTATGATTGGTGAGCTAACCTTCTTTCTAGGACTGCAATTTAAACAAATAGGTGAAGGTATTTTCATTTCACAAAAATGTATGTTAAAAAATGTTAAAGAAGTTTGACATGGGTGATTGTAAAAGTGTTATAGCACCATGTCAAACATAAGAGAAAATTAGCACGGGCGATAGTGGTAAAGAGGTTGACACAACAAAGTGCCGAGGCATTATTGGGAGTCTGTTGTATCGTATTGCATGTAGACCAGATATTTGCTATAGTGTTAGAGTGTGTGCTAGATACTAGGAAAATCTCAAAGAATCCCAACTGAAGGTTGTCAAGAGGATATAAAAATATGTGAAAGGCACTCAAAATTTAGGATTGTGGTACACACAAGGTGGAACATCAAGTCTTATGGCATTTAGAATGTTAACTGGGCTGGAAACATTGATGATAGCACATCTAGTGGGAGTTTTTTGGGAGGGAATTTGGTTTCATGGTTGAGCAAGAAGAAAAATTAAGTCTCACTATCTACAATTGAAGCCGAATACAATGTAGCAAGAAGTTTTTGTGTGCAATTGTTGTGGATGAAATCCATGCTAGCTAATTATGGAGTAAGTCATGGCACCATTCCACTATTTTTTGACAATACAAGTACCATTAGTATTTCTAAAAGTCATGTACTACACTCATGTACAAAAGATATTGATATTAAACATCACTTTATACGTGAGCTGGTGGATGATAAAATTATCAATTTGGAGCATGTTGCAATTGAAGAACAACTAGCTGATATATGTGCTCTCTTCTAAAAATTGCATTGCATGGGGTGAACACTGAATACCAACTAAAAGTGTTCATTGGTTTACATATATGGGATTGGATTTTTTCTATTAAGAGTGTACGCCTTTTGGAGAGAACGAGATATTTCTTTTGGTATTGTGCACTGGAACGGAAAAGCCACTCTGAATTTCTTTTATGTTTCACATGTCAAAAGTGTATCTATGCTCAACTCTCTATCATCTTCCATCTCTAAATCCTAATAAAAGAATCTCTCCTCTCAACTTGCAAGAATGGTGCGGTCCAAGAGTGGTATTTCAAAACACTTTCACAAGGAAAAGTCATCAAAGGCTCAACCCTCCACGCTTCGGAGGCTTTTCGTAGCAAGAAAGAAGATTCACGTAGAAACAATTGTCACCAATGCCACAATCAGTTCAGAAAAAGCACCTCTACTTCATCAAGAAGCCCTGCAATAAAATCTTGAAGGTTCCTAATCTTCAAAGTTTGATGATGTTTGTTGAAATCCAAAATCAAGCCTGCAACAGATTTTTTATCTTGAATATGCTTCAACAGATATTTCCCTAGTGACTTCTCCAAAAAGTTTTATAGATGAAGAGTCCTCTCTCCCTCCAAATACAAAAAGTCCTCCTCTCAAGGAGTCTTCTCAGACAGATGTGACTAACTTTGTGCCACCAACTCCTACCGAGCAACTCAAGAAAGTAACTCCAGGTGAGGAGTTCTTGAACATTCTTGATGAGGAACACTTGGTGGCATGCTCGGAAGTTCCGTTTCAAACTAGTGCCCAGTAAGAAGAGAGCTCAAAACTAAACTTTGTGATAAAACTCTCTCGTATAACACTTTGAGGTTTGGGGTTGTTCTTCCCTATTTTTGTGGTTGAGGGTGTTGTTTTTCCACTTAAAACTTTTTTTGCTGAAATGGATTGATAACTTTTGGGTTGTCATGGGTGATGGGTTGATGTATTTTTTGTGTGTGGGGATTTTATGTTGATGGCAATGAGTCTAATTTGTTTTATTAGCCTAGTATTTTTAAGGTGATTCTGTTTTGAGATGTTGTGCTTTTGAGGGCTCTTGTTGCTACATATCTCTATATGTATGCAATCTTGGAGTTAAAACACCTTTGAGGTGTTAGTTCATGCACATGTATTTCTATTTGACCCTGTCATTCTTAAGGGTACTTGGGTTTAGGGCTGATAGCTTTACTCTAGGCCTATTTCTGTTGATGCCGTGATGTAGATACAACTATATGTTAATACTATGTAGGGTGTCTACTCAGTGTACCTACTTGTGCTTGGTTGAATGTTACTCTTCTTTTTAACCCAAAATATTTTCTACTCCCTCTGTCCCATTAGAATCTTTCCATTCAGCGTTAGGATGCTTGACTAACTTTATTTTTAATTCAATTTATTTGATTGCATGTGCAAAATTTTAAAATAAAAATTATATATTAAAAAACTACAAAAAATCTACAAAACTAGATGTGACATGATTATATTATGTTATCAAATGAGTAACGAAAATAGAGAAATAAAGTGTATAAAGTTTAACAATGTGAATAGTGTATGTAAAGATTCAAGTGGGACGGAGGGAGTAATAAACTTTAACACTTTTTATGCAGATAGGGGTAGAAGAGGTTTAAAATGACTGAGTATTTAGTTTTTATCAAAAAATTGCCAAAGGGAAAGATTGTTAGTTCCATGGGTTGTTCCCCTTATACTTTGTGTAGTTGAATTGTAAAACTCATGTGTAGCATTTTTTGACAAACCAAATAGAGTTTAGATATGTCTTAGTTACTAGCCGTTTTGCATTACTATAGAGCTTTAGGATCCTCTTCGTCATCTCAAGCTGCGAAGAGTCTTTTTATCTACGGAATATGCTTTGCTGATTAAATTAAAGGAAAGTCCAAGCACTTATGAGAGTCGTGCATAGATCATGTATCTCCTCATGTATGCAAGTATCATCCACATCTAGTATTCAAGATCACAAGACGTCTTATTTTACTTGGTGATGTAAATCTTGCAAGCAAAGCAGGAACTGGATGAAAGTCTTCTACTGGAATTACTAGGGTTTCTCCCTCTTGAATAAAAGTCGACGCCTCCTCTCTGTTCCGTGTGCGAAACAGACTAGAAAACCAAGAGAGACAAATAACACGTCCCTTGAAAATGATATTGAATAAGGTGCGACAAGCCAATGTGTTACGCACAAATAGAGTTTGTCGTCAAATCATGTGTAAAAAGATTAAGTCAATTCATAGATAGAGTCTATAAAGGTGCAATCTTTACAGTGATTTAGTAGAAGACTGTTATACGGACTTGAGCCTCGCAGACGCAAGAGAAATTACTCCGAACAGCGTAAACATGTGGTGTCGTTTACTGCTTTCTTAGTTCTATTTTTTTTATTAATGACACAAAAAGTGTTATAGCACACCGTACATCATCTTTCAAAGCTACTTATGCTATAACAACTTCGTGCCATTCCTTGCAATTTTTCCATCGTTTGCTCCGTGTGTTCTACAGTTTTGTTTGGGTGCCGAGTTACCCCTTTGACATTTCAGAATTCAGAGCACAAATGGATTATGGCAATTTTGGCGTGGTGGGTTATCGGGATTCGATTGATTGTCGGAATTCTAAGAACTCAGGATCCGTTTGGTATACGGAATTGATGGAATTGGAATTGAATTGGAATTAAAATTCCATGGGATTCAATTCCATAGAATTGAATTCACCAATTCTAATTCATTTTTTGCATTATCAATTCCAAATCTACATAATTTTTGTGCTACCAAATACGAGAATTGGAATTGAAGTCCTCAATTCCAATTACATAATTTGAATTTCGTGTACCAAACGGAGCCTCAGTGTATTTCTACTTGGATTTGGGCGTGCGGGGTTATTAAATTTGGTGGGTGACTTTATTTGGTCTCTATTTTATTGGTATTGGGCCATAGGTACCTAAAAGGAACTACAACGTATAATATACGGAGTAACTGCTATTTTATTTGGGCTTATGGAAGGAAGGTGTGTTTGGCCCACTATCATCATCCTCAACACTAAGCATTGAGGCAGGGGGGGGATTATCAAGTTTCAAAGCACCTTCCTCTGCAATCAGCTCAGCTACTCTGCATTTTTATCTCTTCCGCTAAATTCATTTGTAGGGTTACAAAATAAATGGGCTCAACGTTTACCCTTTCTCTCTGCTCACACCCAAAGGTAACACTCTTCTTCTGCACATTACATGTTCAAGTTCGATTTTCCTTTTTGTTCGTGTTTTATTGCTTTTCCTTCAAACTTTTAGGTATATTTTAGGATCAGTACACGCCATAGGAGCTTACATGGAGAAGCATTGTTCAGTTCAGGCTTCTTTTGTGGGCCGGGTGCCCTGAATCAGTCCCCCACACTCTGCATTAGGGTTAGCAGGGGTAGAAAATGCCTGAACTCGAGGGGATTAGTGGTGAGAGCGGATTCGTCTACGGGCCGTTCTGTTGGATCCTCTGTTTCCAGGAGAGCCTACAGGCAATCCCAAGCTCCGGCCTCGCGGGTGAATGAAATTGCATCTTTTGTTCTTCCCACGGGCGGCTTCGTCTTGCTTTCTATAGGTACTAGTTTCCTTGCACTTTCATTATTTTGTAATATTTTTTTTACGGTTGCTGTTTTCTTTGTTTTGTTTGCATTGTTATATTGCTCGCGATACCTGTTTGCATTGTTTTACTACCTGAACCCACATTGAAAGTAAGATGCAAGGGATGTTTAATCCAGTTTTTTTATTTAATCCAATATTTAACATGAAGTCATGAACTAAAACATTGCCGATAATGACTCGTTTAACTCCATTCACCCCCATAAAATAATATAAGTATTTCATTTTATATACTCGCATACATCATCGGGTTGAGGTGAGGGGGGTCAGGTGACCTCCCTAAGTCTCTTGTGTTTGCCACTAGAGCTTAGTGCATTTAAATAAAATTAAAACTCTCAATGCATTTGCTAATCATTTTTTTCAGCTGACAGTTATATGGAAACTAGTGGAGAAATTTACTATGCCAAAGCCAGCTAATACTTCACCAGAGGAAAGTAAAGCTACCAAAGGCGTGAAATGGTCATTTGCGCCAGGCACAAACTTATTAGCTGGCTTTGGTCAAAAGGTTGGGAGAGAATCCAAGAAGAAGCTCAATGAGTTTGCAAAGGAGCTCAGGTTGTACAGCAGTGTTGATTTGTCAGGTAGAGGAGCTGTTAGTCGTTTGAGATTTGAAGTAGAAAGTTGAACTTGTAATGCATGCTCGTACACACACCTTACATTCTTTTTAGAGGGGATTATGAGTATTTCTTTAGCATCTAGAAAATATTTTCCATTACCTTACCTTGTAATGTGGTATATGCTGCTTTGTTACTTTTTCTTTCTTCAGTTCATATGAAACTGAAGTAATGTTTCCATGGATATTGACATCCTCTATCTCATTTTTTTTCAATTGGAACAAGGGATAAGTTGTCCTATATAAAACAACATCTGTAGCCTAGCACAATCCAAGTATAAGAGGTTGAGATGTACACATTCATGACCTTGTAAAAAAAGAGGTTGTTTCAGTTAGACAATTGATGGCTTGATAGTTCATACTTCATAAAATAACTAAATAGAATGTAATTGAAGTTAAATGCGCCATTTTAATATTATGTGTTATTTACTTGAAGCATTGTCAATAACAACCCTTTTAGCTCTTTTGGAAATGGACGCATAAGCCAACCTTTGTATATTTTATTTTTGGAAAAGGCATTTTGTCCATTCGCTTCCACTCTCTCCTCTCACATCCCATTTGCTGGTTTCATATTTCACAAGAATGTTTAGGGTTGTTTGTGTGTGAAAACTTGTATAGGGCACAACTTTGGAGATGAAGGCTTATTTTTCCTGGCAGAAAGCTTAGCTTACAATCAGGTAGCTTTAGCTGTATTCCCATCTTTTTTTATGGCCTATGCATTCCCTTTCTCAAGTTTGTAGACTGTCAATGTTCTTAATTGATTGGGTCCAAGATCTGGCATAACCTGTTTGTTTCCTTCAATTATAATTCAAATATAGTTATATCAAGGCCAAAGCCATATGGCTATGTGTTTATGGAGTAGTAACTGCTAGTACTTTTACAAGAACGTATGTTGGAAAAGTTTGTTTCTTTACCAATGTACATGTACTTGCATGTTAAAATTTTCAGACCGCTGAAGAAGTAAGTTTTGCTGCTAATGGAATAACTGCGGCTGGACTTAAAGCTTTTGATAGTATCCTGCAATCAAACATTGCCTTAAAAACTCTTGACTTGTCGGGAAATGTTTTTGGAGATGAAGGTGCTAAGGTAACCTCATGTACTCTTTATTTGCACCACCGTTTTTTGGAGCTCATCTATGGCTATAACCTCATCCATCCACTAAAATGTTTACAAAGGGTGTTTAAGAACCTTTACCCTCATTACTCATCATGTTATTCTCTTGCTTCAGTGTCTTTCAGGCATTCTGGTGGATAATCCTGGCATTCAAAAGCTCCAACTGAACAGTACTGGCATAGGAGATGAGGTGAGCAACTTATCGTACTTCTATTACTGAAAAGGTTCTTTAAACAGTTAGATGAGTGTATAATAGTTTGAAAGCCTATTTTATATCCTTGCAGGGAGCGAAAGCAATTGCTGAGATGCTCAAGAAAAAGTCAAACTTGCGCATCCTTGAGCTTAACAATAATTTAATTGACTATTCTGTATGATTTGGAGTATACATGTGTCTGGTGCATTTTGTTTATTCCTGCTCTAGCACATATTTGCTAAATTGTTTTGTTCTCCATTTTAATGTGGAGGTAGGGATTTTCAGGTCTTGCTGAAGCACTACTTGAGAATAGAAGTTTACAATCCTTATATCTCAGGTTTTAGATTTTTTCTGCTTGCATATAAAAGAAGTACTACTGTGTTGAAGTTTTTATACTATTAATTTCCTACATATATTTGTTTTTATTCTATAAGGCAATCAAAATGTTAGATAAGAATATAGAATATATCATGTTCAGATATGTTAATTGCGCTGTTGAAGAATGCCTCAACCTACGTCTTTGTTTTAATCTTCATTTATATTACTTTTGAATTTTGAATGTTTGAAGTGGCAATTATGGAGGCACGTTAGGGGCTGCTGCCCTTGCGAAAGGGCTGGAAGGGAACAAATCTGTACTGGTATTTTTCCATTGAGTACATTAAGTTTCTCTATGTGCTGCCTTTTTTTATATAGTGAAAGGGGATGTTGTCTATTTGTTGAAGACTTGAAGTATCAACATACTATGCTAGGAAATTTATTTGCATGGGAACTCTATAGGTGATGAAGGTGTGCGTACACTAATGTCTGGCCTATCTTCACGCAGAGGTTTTCTTCCATCGCAGCATTAATCGTTTTGTCCGGAAGCCACTTTAATGTTGTATGGAGTGTTATTCACAGTGTTTTGATTGATCATTGTATCATCTCTTTAGGTAGACTTGTTAGGCTGGACATTAGTAACAATTCCATCACCGCAAAGGGTGCCTTCCATGTTGCTGAACATATCAAGAAGAGCAAAAGCATCCAATGGTTGAACCTATATATGAATGATATTAAGGATGAGGTAACTATCTATAAATATTGGACCTCTATATTTTTCTTTTCTTCATTCATTGATTATTTGTTTTTGTGCTGCTGCAAGAGAAGTAATTACAACTCATACGTTCTATTTACTCCCAAGTCCCAACTTGACTTTCTGTTGCAATTTTGACAAAACCTTCATGTTCCATCCTTCATGGAGTGAAACCATCATCATTAACGATTGAATACTAGTTATGTTTGGATTGGTGACATGGAATTTATGGTGTCAAATACTCTGTCCTTCCCACAAAGTTTGGAATGTAGGGTATTGACACACAAAATAAGAAAACATGGAATTGTGGGGTTGATATTGAATATGTAAACTAGTGATAGAGTTGTAATGATTTTGGACCACCCAAATACAGAAAATATTGAATGAGACAAACATAGCGAGGCAATAAAATTGGTAATACATGACAGATTTTGGGACATAGGGAGTAATAGGTAAGCGACTTACAAATTTCTAGAAGAGTTTGTGACTTGTGAGTTTGGTACTGTTGGAAGTGCCATGTGAAAGTCATGGTTGAAATAGAAGCTCTCAAAGAGTTGACTGAAATAGCAACACATTTTAAAAAATTTGCTAAAAATTGTACGTAATTTCTAGAGCCGTGGATGAGTTAACAAATTTTGAAAAAATATGCCAAAATCACAACAAGTAGCATAGTATTGGATATTTGTACCATTTTGGCTTATTACTACTATTGTTTTCGTTGTTGTTGTTCTTGCTATTAGGCTTGAATGGCTAGCCATGAATGCCTGACTTTGTAATGTTATGTGGAAATCTATGTACTCGAACTCCTTTCTAGCTATTAATCATACTGCACATGCAAACAAATTTATGAAACAGCTAAGGCCTACTATACCAACATCATTTCAAGTTTGTTTTCCTCTGGATAGAAGATAGCAGATCTCAAACAGCAAGACACAACTTTGTTGGATTTTTTTTGGATGGGACGAAGTCTTATTGTTTGAATATGATACTACTCAATTTATCACTGGAATAACAGAATCACACCTCTCACAGAAACTATAGCTTATTATGGACTTTGCATTGTGTCGTTATCCTGAGACGCAATCCATTCGTCAACAAATTTTATCTAGGTTCACAATGGCACATACCTTTCATGAATCATTCTTGCTGCCCCTATATCCATTGATCTCCTTGTTTTTTTTTGGGGGGGGGGGGGGNTAGCATTCTGGGAGGAAATTTTCTCCGGAATAGTCATACGGCGTGACTTTTGACACAAACATAATGACAAATGGTGAAAGCAGAGATCTAGTACATTTAATGTGCGACAATCAAGCTTCGCATCCAACCCAGTGTTTCGTGAGATGACTTAGCACATTGAGGTTGACTACTACTTTTTCAGAGAAAATATCACATCTGGACACAATATTGAAGTCAACATTGAAGTTGACTACCATTTTTTTTTTTTGTTGAAAAGATTGCATCTGGACACAACATTGAGGTTAAGTACCACTTTTCTGAGAACATCTGGACACAATGTTTTGACATCATGAGATTATGAGAAAATCTCTCAGAGATCCTAGAATAAAATATATTTGTAACAAGCTTGATGCATACAATTTGTACGCTCCATATTAAGGAGTCTTGAAGTTGGAAATTAGTCAAAAGATGTAGGCTTCTAGATTAAATTACTTTATTGCTTAGATCATTTATGGCTTTATGCTTAAGTTTTCACTTAAGCCAATGTATTAAGTTACACTCTGTTCCATAAAAAAATTGTTTTACAAATGTATAACTCTTTGATTTTAGTACGGTACAACTATTTTAAATTTTCAAATATTGCTATATTTTCAAATTTCTGTGTTGTGTTAACTTAAGTTAACACACCATCTTGCTTAGAACAATTTCTCTTTTTTGGAGAATAAGGTTTTAAATATGTTTTTTTGGGACATAGTATTGTGTATATAGTGCAAACAAGTCAACAACAACAACCTTGTGTAGAGGGACATTACCCTTACAAAAACATAGAGATGCTCTTTCCAAAAGTAGGTTGTTAGTCTTCTAGGGCCATGGGGGTAGTTTTGTATGGGTGCTTTTTGCGTTTGTCTTTGTGTGTTTAGCTTGGGGTCTATTTGCTTGTGTTGGTGTGTGGGTTCTTGTCCCTGTGTGTGTTTCTTTGTTCTTAACTTGCTCGTTGCTACTACTATACTACAACTTTACTCGTGTTTTATATCATCTCTGTTGCTTTTTATTGTCGCCTGAGCTGGAGTCTCTTGGAAATGGCCTTTCTACTTTTGAGCAGGGGTAAAGTTTGCGTATACACACCCTCCTCAGACTCTACTTTTTGTGGGATTTTACTGGGCTTGTTGTTGTTGTCGTTGTCATTGTCGTTGCTCTTTCTGAAAGTGTCAACTCAAGAAAACATAAAAATATGTTCAATCAATCAAACATTTAAAATTGAGGATTACTAGAGATTTACAGGACTAATACTACTTCTAAGTCTCTGGGAAGAAAAATCTAGACATCACAAGGGTAATATCACCCTTCTAGATTCTACTTCCACTGCTATCCTCCACACTAAAGAAAATCAAAATTTGCTATCCCTTTGGGTTTTTTTGTCTACCCTTGACAATATGATTTATTAGGTAATACTGAGTACACTATAATTGATTTGGCTGATGATGAAAAACCTATTGATGCATGCACAAGCACTTATAAGTTCATTTTGGCCCAGGGAGCTGAAAGAATAGCAGAAGCTTTGAAGGATAATCGCTCCATAGTCAACTTGGATCTTGTGAGTCCAATTTATTGTCTCCCATGACCATATCCATTTCCATCCCGCATACTTGATCTTTATTGAAGTATCATCTTGGCTTGGCCTGGCCACCATTTGTCAACCTTCAAGCATCATATGCTCATATTAACGGCGTGTCTTATTTTACAACAAAGACAGTACTTGTGTACTTCTACTGTTCTACATCATGCTCACTGTATGGGTGTTGAGAAATTTTGCAGGGAGGCAATGATATACATGCTCATGGTATTCATGTCATTGCACGGGTCCTGAAGGACAATTCTTCCATTACAGTTGTGAGTAAATCAAGCTGCTACACTCTCTTCTCGTTTGAGCAATGCTCCTTTGTATTTACATAATGAGCATTTCATTCACACAGTTGGAGCTTGGTTATAATCCGATTGGACCTGATGGCGCCAAGGCATTAGCTGAAATTCTTAAATTTCATGGGAATGTGAAAGATCTCATGCTCGGTTGGTGTCAGGTAAATCCTTTGATGATGTTTTTCTTTAAACCATCTTTGTGAAGTGTTCTTTAATGATGATGAGTTTCTAGTTTCCATGCAGATAGGGGCTAAGGGCACAGAGTACATTGCAGATATGTTGAAATATAATGGTACAATATCAAATCTAGATCTGCGGGCTAATGGACTTAGAGATGAGGTTCACTACCCTATATTCATCATCATCATGTATCATCATTAATAATAATAATACTATCATTGTTAGTTATTTCTTGAGTAAATTTCATAAATGGTCCCTAGTAATAAGTTGTGTTCCATATTTAGTCCCTACTTATCAAATATTACAAGCCTAGTCCTCATTTCTTAAGTACCTTTCCGTGGTTAGTCCTTTGTCACTTATGCTATAATCTTCCTTTTAAATACAGGGTTAGAAAGGTAATTTTCCACCCCACCTCTCAATTAAACCCCTCCCCCATCCTCGTATACGCCTCTGCTTGCATGGTTTGGGTGCTGCATTCAGATTATCCGGTGCGAAGAAGACATAGACAGTAACTTTTGGATTCTGCGATGAAGACGAAACTGGGCTTATGGTTCTGAGGGATAGATGAGGATGGGGAAGGGTTTATTTGAGAAAAGGGGGTGGAAAATTACCTTTTGATCGATGTATTGAACGGGTAGGGTAGAAAACCACCTATAACTGTGGACCGTTTATGGATTCTACTCCTATTTCTTTGTGGTTTCGAAATAGAGATCCTTGAAAATTGTTTTTCTATTTCTTTTCTGGGTTGTAGGGCGCTATCTGCCTGGCTAGAAGTTTAAAGGTGGTGAATGAAGCATTGGCATCACTAAATTTAGGGTTCAACGAGATTAGAGTACGTCACTCTTCTCCTTGGTGGTAAACTTATGTGAAAAATAATGCTTTACTCAACATATTAATGATCCCATTTTTATTTGTCTTCGCAGGATGAAGGAGCTTTTGCAATTGCTCAAGCACTCAAGGCAAACGAGGACGTGAGGCTGACTTCTATTAATCTTTCCAACAACTTCTTTACCAAATTGGGACAGGTAAATCATGGCTTCCCTTCTTGTTGAGCCTGCGATTTTCATTCCCTGTTTCCTCTTTTTTCTTTCCGTATGAAACTGAATGTGGCTTAAACATTATTATGCAGACTGCCCTATCGGATGCAAAAGACCATGTTTATGAGATGAATGGGAAGGAGCTCACTATCGTTTTCTAGGCAAATCCCCTTCCAAATTGGCAACAATGTTTTTCCGCTCTTTCGTCACTTGCAGAATAGTGCCCATTAGTTGAACGAGTTTGGCGGTACATAGTTTTCTGGAAGGTCCGTCTAATTTCATTAGAGTTGAAGAGACAGACACATAGACCTTGTTTGGGAACAACACTTTCGATTAGCGTTATTGTTTTGAATAATTTTTTAGTAGGCGCTAAATAATTTTGAAAATGTTCAAACTATATGCTGCCATTAGATAGTTAAGGTGTTGCCAGAAAAGGACATACACACATTAGAATAACAACCAAATGTTATCGGGTTTTAGAAATTAATAGAGTATCAATTCCCATCAAAGTTCTTAAAGTAAATTAAATTCCATAAATACCCTTAACAAACTACACCCTCCGTCCCAACTTGATATTCTCATTTAGAAATTAGCTTGAGTGAAATGCTCGGTATCTTTGTGAACCCTAACATACACACAATGTATACGTGGAAACCTTATATAAAGATGAAGCAGTTGTGTAGGTGACGTTGGTTAGAGTTCTCGCAGTAATTGCTAGAGCTTCGATGATGGTCGTGAGTGGCTTGGTAGTGGAGGTCGGATGATGAACGAGGTTGGATTGAAGGAATGAATAAGAGAGATTATAATTTTTTTAAAAAGTAAAATTCAATTTTATTAAATAAAAAGATGGATACAATGGGGGACTAGGCCTTACCCATGTGAGAGAAAAACATATGGATAACTAATAGCGTCACTTTTAAGGATCTTTTTTTAAGAAAACTCGGATAGTAGAATCAAAAGAAACAATAAAAGAGTTGTGAGTAATATTATTAAGGTAAGCTAACCGAGTTGCAGTCCTATTGACTTGGCGTGGGATATAATTGAAACTTCAAGCTCTCGCATGGGAGTGTCGATGAATGTCAGCAATCAGAAACTCCAAGCTCTCGCGTGGGAGATTATAATTTATTTTGGTAGGCTGGAGAGAAAAAAAGTACAATTTATGTGTAAAAGATATAGGCCCGTTTAGAGTCAGTGTTAGGGGTTAGAGTTAGCTTTTTGGAAGGCTATCTAACTACAGTATCTTCAAAATCAATTTACACCGTTAAAATTTTATCTAAATGATAGGACTAATTGAAAATACTATTTTCAAACAAAACCATAATGGGATTCAAGTGACAATTGTTGGAACACCCATGCTAAGGCTGCACCAAGATGTGTAATCCAAAGGGATGCATCATCATTTTAACAGTTCACACTAGTACAAAATGCTAGTTCAATCAAAAAAATTGCACTGACATTTTGTGTCATTTAACTCATCCACTAGTATTACACTAGCACAAAATGTTGATGCATGTTTCCGGGGTATAAAATGAAGTACAATTTTTTGGGTACACATAGTTTAATTCTTGTTGGAATGCAGGAATTGAATCCCTTTGTTTTGTTAAGAGCTGACTTATAGATTTTGATAATTAACAAACACAATATGCTCAAGTGACAAACACAAGCTGATCTAGTGACAAATATATTGACAAATACGGAGTACAAAATATTTAAAGTCGAGGATGGACAAATTCAATGGAGTAACATAACTAAAGAAGTGTTAGGATTTGATTAAAAATCAAAAGGAAAGAAAGAAAAAAACAAAGAAATAAGAAGAAGAAAGAACGAAGAATTAATCTAGGGGTACACCAACATGGGGTACTCCATTTGCACACCAAACCTACACAGACATTTTGTGTCTGTGTTGGCTTGGTGTACAAATGAGGTACTCCATGTTGGTGTACCCCTAACATTGTCCAAGAACGAAAAAGCACAACTTACATTCTGTGGAGGTGGGTCCAGGATCTTGTCACCAATATTTGTTGGTTTTGTTTATGACTTTTGGTTACTTCGTATATGGCTATTATATTCCATTTGGCTATATAACAAGGGCTTTACACACACCGATGTAGAGAGAGAAAGGGAGCTACAAGAGGATTCTACACGAGAAACCATCAGGAAAATCCAAGGGGTCTTTGTGAGTGTTGGGAGTAAACTGTATTTAGTTACTCGAAAAAATACATTTGGGCATAGGGTTTGGAAAGATCTGTTTATAAGTGTATGAAGTTTAGCCTTGTAAACATCGAGAGAATGGATGTTAAAAGTGCCTTCCTTATTTAGTTATTCGCTTATTACTTGCTTTTGCATCTACGATGGATTTTAAACTTTATCAAATGGATGTTAAAAGTGTCTTCCTTAATGGTATCATTCAAGAGGAAGTGTATGTCGAACAACCCCCGGGTTTTGAAGACTATGAGTTCCCCGAACATGTCTTCAAACTCAAAAAGGCGCTTTACGGTCTCAAACAAGCACCTCGTGCTTGGTATGAACGGTTAAGCAAATTTCTTTTGAACCATGAGTTCAAACGGGGTCAAGTCAATACTACTCTTTTCATCAAGAAAGATAACCAAGACATCCTTTTGGTTCAAGTTTACATTGTTGATATCATATTCGGTGTTACTAACGAAGCTTTTTGCAGGGATTTTTCCGATATGATGCAAAGCGAATTTGAAATGTCGATGATGGGAGAATTAAAGTTCTTCCTTGGGCTGCAAATTAGACAATGCAAAGAAGGAACATTCGTGTGTCAAACGAAATATTGCAGGGAATTGCTTAAGAGATTCGACGTTACAGAATCCAAATCCATTGACAAACCGATGAGCACCTCTTGCTATCTCGACAAGGACGAAAAAGGTAAAGAGGTAGATATCAAGCGCTACTGAGGTATGATCGGCTCTTTACTTTACCTTATCGCGAGTAGACCGGATATCATGTACTCCGTTTGTATATGCGCTAGATATCAATCATGTCCTAAAGAGCCACACTTGGTTGCGATCAAAAGGATAATGCGATATCTCGCGGACACGTTGAACGTAGGTCTTTGGTATCCCAAAGGTTCGACATGTCATCTTGTTGGCTATTCTGACTCGGATTTTGCAGGTTGCAAACTCGATAGGAAAAGTACCAGCAGTACTTGCCACTTTTTCGGTCATTCGTTAATCTCATGATTTAGTAAGAAACAGGTAAGTGTTGCACTTTCCACCACCGAAGCGGAATATGTCGCTGCAGGAAGTTGTTGTGCCCAAATTCTTTGGCTAGAACAACAACTAATGGATTTCGGCCTTATACTTGATCACATCCCTATTAGGTCTGACAATATGAGTGATATTAGTCTAACGAAGAACCCTGTTCTTCACTCGCGGACTGAACACATAGAAATTAGGCATCACTTCATATGAGATCATGTCCAAAAGGGAGATGTCACAATTGAGTTTGTTGAAACGAAACATCAATTGGCGGACATTTTCACGAAACCCCTTAGTAGGGAGAGTTTCTTCCACATTCGGAACGAACTTGACATTTTGGATATCTCTATGAACTAATTCATTCCTTTTATTGACTACACTAATTTGAGCGTCGGAGGCGCGATAAAATCTTTTTTGCAGGGCCTTTATTTCAGGTATCTCTTCCCTTGGTATCAAACCCGAACTGAACTTGATGATTTTTTTCTGTCAAACAATTTTAATCGATTACTCCTCGTAGAGAAATCGATTAGTTGCTTCTGTGCCTCTTAATCGATTACTATACTTCTTCCTAATCGATTAAATCCTTCAGCACAAATTCCTTTGGATTTTGTTTCATTTTTAATCGATTAATTCTTTCACAGAAATCGATTAGGTCCATCTGTATAACTTAATCGATTAATAAGCTCTGCCTAATCGATTAGAATTCGATTGCTCTCATTCTGCAAAAACCTAATCGATTAAATATGTTGTATTAATCGATTATTAGTTGATTTTGTTTAATAAAATCATCCCGTCTTCATCTTCTTCGCCAAATCCTTTTACAGTTGCAGAGCATCTAGAAACCCTAGCTCTCACTTCTCCGATTTTATCAACTAATTCTTTATCAATCTCTTCCATTTTTTTCAAATTTCATCAATTTCGAAGAGGAAAGATGCCAAGGTGCAAGAACCCTTCCTCTCGTCAAGAATATGCGGCGGAAGAAGGAGAGCGTCAATGGCGTCGTGAAGGGAGCAAATACATTTACGTCCAAACCAGTCTCGCCTTCAACACTAGAGCTTCAGTGGAAAGGTTCCACAACACCTTTCTGACGAAGGAGATCATCCCACCGAAGATTGTGGACAAGGACCTCTTCAAATCGGTGACCTATGCCCCGAGCAAGTCCCTTTTCTCTCAGCAAGGTTTGCTCCGTTTTATTCATTTGACGTATGAATTCTTCTGTCCAAATCTTATACGTCAATTTTGCTCCAATTTTCGTACCACTTTGGGAGATTCGCCATCTCTCATCTCCTATGTTGACGGAAAAACCGTTTTTGTTGACGGTGCCGCCTTGACCTCTCTCTTTGGCCTCCGTAGAGGTGAAATTACTGACAACTTGATTAAAGTTCTAGCAACCCGAGTGTCATTAACCTCACTTTGATTCAACGCGTCCAACAATACATCTTCTGTTATGTTTTGTTGCCCCGTGATTTGAACCATGGAGTTGTCAACAAGGACGACATTCGTCTGTTTAACGTCTTGTTGAACAATGTCAAATTTGATTGGGTTCATTTCTTTCTCGTTGCACTCCGTGAGGGCTCTTGCTTTTCACATCTTAGTTTTGTCATCCCTATCATGCATATCCTTGCTCACTGCAAAGTGGACCTTACTCGGGACATTCGGGTGCCGGTGAAGAAGACTTGCTTCATCAAGGACACCAAGTTTTCCCGGATCGTGTACCGTGAGGAGGGCAATGCTGCACCTAATCTGGACCTCGTAGTCGCAGACGAAGAAGAGAGCCAAAACGAGACTCAAGTCGAGTCATCTCGTGCCGGAGGAAGTCGAACCACGGAGTGCGTCACTCGTCAACGCAGGACTCGTCCGAGAGAAGAAGCACCGGAACCATTTTGGGTGAAGAGGATCTTCGATACTCTCACATGCATTCGAGATGACGTTCGCCAGCTCAACGAGAGAATAACTCGTTTCAAGCAATCCCGCTCCTTCCGTGGCCCGCGTCATAGCTTTAGCGGAGGAGCTCGTCCGGCGCATTCTCTTTGATCTTGTGTCGTTGATTTTGCTATGACTCATTATGATACATTATTAAATGCTATTGTTATTTTGCCTCATTTGGTGGATGTTGATGTTACGTTGGATGATGCTAGTTATCGTTATTAATTGATTATTGATGATGTTAATTATGCATTGATATGTTTGTTGGTTAGGCAATATGGTTCTCTTTTAGAACATATTGTCCCTTTGTGACTTTTTGTTAGAAGTTCTCTTTTAAAGAAAACTCTTGCAAATTTTTACTATCCTTCAAAATCCCGGCATCAATTAAGGGGGAAGGTTATCAGTTGATAATCCCAAAAGGGGGAAGGAAGGATAATTGAGAAAACTTGTTTTTCAAAAAAAAACGTTTTTCCTCTTATTACTCCGAATTTTTTTTACTGCACTTCTCTAACCATGCAGGGGGAATTACATTATGGGAAGTATTTCTTGAACTCTTACTTTGCTTTTTCTCAACTATGTTTGTCATTATCAAAAAGGGGAAATTGTTGGACATGAGTTCAAACCACTTTAATATTTTCTAGAATATTTTTGTTTTGATAAATGACAAACAGGATGATTAAACGCAACGATGATCGAAAATTTATTTTTCGTATAAAGAAAAACAAAGAGGCGTATCAAGAAATTTACGGTGATAAAATCAACGCTCACCCCTACGCAGATTTTTTTTGAAGAGAAGTGAAGATTCCGAAGACTTTTTATTTTTATTGAGTCTAGAAATATTTGTAAGGATGACAATGATTTTTTGCATAAACAAATTAATTTTGAGGGATAAAAATTATTATTTTCTTAGTCAGTTGAAAAATCATTTTTTTTGTCTAAAAATATTTTACCGAGTCTGTTTCAAAATAGTGTGTCAAAATTTCATAAAATATTTTTTAAGGATACACAAATTTTTTTGTGAGAAAAATATACTTTAAATATTTCTTCTTGTACATCGTTTGACACATAAAATAATTTTTGGACTCACTTTTTCCTCCCTTATTCAAATTCATTGAATAGGAGAAGTTTTGATTGATGAGCGTCTCTTATTCCTCCTGCCTGAAACAATCGCGTTAAGACATTTTTACTTCTCATCTCGCAACTGGCTTGGGGGCCTTTGTGTTTGTGCATCATTTTAAATCTAATCGATTAATATTTTCAACTTAATCGATTTACCCAGTTTTGTTTAGTTAATCGATTAACATCTCTTGATTAATCGATTAATTGAGTTTTACTAGCAATCAGCTTCTTTGATCTAATCGATTATTTTCTTCATGTTAATCGATTAGTTCTCACAGAACTGACTAATCGATTATCTTCCTGTTTTTAATCGATTAGTTCCACTTTCGCAGAAGACCTTTTCTGGCTTTCTAATCGATTAAAATCTATTCGTTAATCGATTAATATTACCTAGTGCCAATTCTGAGTGGCTCCAACGGTTCTATTTTCTTCAGCCTATTTAATCTCTCATTCTATCTCTTTTTGAGATACAACTCTTGCACTCCATTATCTCCTTTGAGTAATATTCAATTCTTGCTTCCATCTTCCTCATCAAATATTATTTTGAGAGTTAGAGATATTTTTCATTGAGTGCTAAAGATATTGTCATCCATAGAGCTTTAATCTTTCAAACATTACTTGCTTAATTGTGTGAGCTTTCATTCTTGTGTTGTACACTCAATCTTTTGAGTATTGCTAAGACTTGTATGATTCAAGTCTTGTTGTTGTTAAGGCTTGTGTGACTCAAGTCTTGTTGTAAGAAAGTGAGGCTTGTGTGATTCAAGTTCTCAAGTTGTACTGGTTTTTCAAGCACCCGTTGAAGCTTGAAGATTAGTAGGACTTTCGAGAGAGTCTCTCGGAGGACTGGACTAGCCACGAGGTGGTGAACCAGTATAAATCTTGGTATTCTTCTTTCCCTTACTCTCTTAATTTATTCATGCGATTTTTATTTCACACACGCGAAAAATGCACATTCTTGAAAACAACTCTATTCACCCCCTCTAGAGTTGCACATTTGTCTAACAAGCCAGTGTTGGCCGAGAGCATGTTGCTAGAGGTTTAGGCACGACTAGACTTGTGCAAATAAGAGTTGGTCCGTCCGGTCTGTTCAGCTCGCAATAAAAAATGGGTGAACATTACCCATATGGGTGAGTTGGACTGGGCCTGATTTTAATATAAACAAATAAGAGTTAGGCTCATTCCATTCGCCTGATCTAATTTGATTTGATTTTTTGAAGTTTTTTTTTCTAATCTGGTCTGGTCTGATCTGATTAGATCTGATATGAATTTTAGTAAAATTAAAATTAAAATTTCTATTATAATAGTTATAATAATAATAGAAATATTAATCATAATAGTAATACTCCCTCCGTCCGGAAGTAATCTTCACGTTTCTCCTTTTTCTCCGTCCGGAATTAATCTTCCCATTTCTAATTTTAACACCAAATGTTCCAAAAATACCCCTTCCATCAAATCTCACTCTCACTCTCTTCTTTCTTCTTCTTTCTCCCTCCTCTTTTTTCTCCATCGGCCCCATCTCTCCTTTATCTTCTCCTCTCTCCCTCTCTTGTCTCTCATCCTTCTTTTCTTCCCGGATTTACATCTTTTCTTCCCTAGTTCCCTTCCTCTTCTTCGATTTCTTCTCTTCCCACACTCCTCTTCCTCTTTCTTCCCCTGTCTCCTTTCTTATCCATCTCCTCCTAAATCTGGCAGATCTATAGCTTTATCTTCTCCTCCTCCCTTTTCTCTTTCTCCCATGTGTGACGATGGCGGATGATGGTGACGATGGAGCCGACACGGTGGTGTTGATGGTGGGTGTTATACCCCTGGTTGGCTCCACCAAAATCCCAACCCCTCCCAACATATCCAAAAGTCTTTTATCTTTTCTTTATCCCAAAATAAAGCATTTGCCATCTATTTTAATCCCTCGTCAATAATAAGAAACCAAAACCTTTTGTTTGTTCTTATTTCCCTTCTTTTAATAAACAAATAAAACCTTCTCTCCCTTCCTTTGAATCCCTGGCCAAATATCCCTCTCACTCCAGAAAAACACCCACAAAAGGCAAAAAACCTGACCCACCACTAGCCACTCAATCCTGCCCATATTCCCTCACAAATAACCCAAACCTATAGGTCCAAAACCACCCATTATATCCCCCATCCCTGCCCCCTTTTATTAGCCAAAAACAACACCCCAGTTTTACCCAAATAATAGCCAAAAACCCAGGAAACAACCACTACAAACCAAAGGTCAAAACCCCCACAACCCCAGCCCCATCCCTGATTTTATCCCACTAAGGAGACAGGTTTGAATGAAGAATGCCCCATGCTTTGGAAGTGGATGTTGCTAGGAAGCTTCCTCATGTTCACATTCAATGTATAGTGTGTGTTATCCCCCTTCCCCCTGCCTATATAATCAGGCCATATGGCCCTTGTAAAATCATCTTTTGAATATTAAAACATTTTACTCTTTGAGTATTATTAAAATAGTGTGATGCTATTTTAGCCAAATTCCTAATTCTATATCTTAAGAGTGGTTATCTTAAGTGAGAGTTTTAGGTTCTAGATATTTGATTAAGTGTGTCATATCTTAATTAAATTCTAGATTCAAACCCCAAGTTAGGATAAGAGTGTGTAATATCTCTTAAACACCAACTTGGTTTATCCATCTCTGATTTTCTTCCATTTCTTACCTCCCCATTTCTCCTCTTAACCTTACTCTTTTCTCCCATTAAAACACCCAAAATAACTCCACCTTCATTCCCATAATTCCACCCTTTCAGCACCAGCATACATCCATCATCTCTTATCCGTATTGGTATCCTGAGAGCCCTAATAATCGATTGTTGAACACTGACAATCGATTGTTGCACCCTCCTGAATATCCCTGATAACAACAGCAGCCCTACATAATCGATTATCAGTTTTGGATAATCGACTATCTTGCTCCTCTGATTTCTCTTGGCCTAAGTTATACAAGCCCATAATCGATTATCACACTTGTGACAATCGACTATCTGGCATCCCTGAAGTTCCTTGGTTTTTGCAGCATCACTACATAATCGATTGATAAAAGTCCATAATCGATTATTGAGTGTCCTAGAACTTTGAACTCGTGGCCGCATCATCCCTTGATTTCTCCTCAAAATAACAACTCGTTTATACCCCGGGTCTCGGGTATAACAGTGGGCGCTGGCGGTGACTGTGATGAGGGGCGGCAGTGGGGCTGTCGACTGTGATGAGGGCGGCGGTGGGGCTATCAATGGTGGTGTTGGGGCTGGCGGCGGTGAGTGCTTGCAAGGGTGGCGGCGGTGTTGGGGCTGGCAGCGGTGAGTCCTCTGAAACTCTTCTCTTCCCTCTCTCCCAGATCTACGGTAGATCTGTAATAGATCTTGGCTGAGGGGCGATTGTGGCGGGGGCTGGGTCAATTGTGGCGGAGCTGACGGCGACGATGGATACAGTGATGATGATGGCGGTGGTGGGTGCTAGCCCTGGCAGAGATCAGGGGAGGGGAGCGGAGGGTTGGGGTTGTAAAACATGAAAGAATTGAAGGGTAAATTGGACATTTCTCTCCCAAAGTCAACACTTCATAAAAATGACAAAAAGTCCAAATGGGAAGATTAATCCCGGACGGAGGGAGTAATAAAAATAAAAATAATAATCCTAATAGTAGTAATAATAATAATAAAAATTATAATAATAATAATCATAACTATAATAATAATAATAATAATAATACTTAATAATAATAGTATTAATAATAATAGAAATAATAATAATAGAAATATTGATAATAAACAAAATAATAATAATTGAAATAATAATAGCATTAAAAATAGTAATAATAATAACTAAAATAATAATAGTAATAATAGTAATAATAGTAATAATAGTAATAATAGTAATAATAGTAATAGTAATAATGATAGAAATAATAATAATAATAGAAATAATAATAATAGTAATAATAGTAATAGTACTAATAATTTTAGTAAAAATGATGATGATAATAATAATAGTAGTAGTAGTAGTAGTAATAATATTAGTAGTAATGAGAATAATAACTGTAATAATTATAATAACAATATTAATAATAATAGTCATAATAATAGTAATAGTAGTAGTAATAATAATAGTAATATTAATAATAAGAATAGTAATAATAGTAATAATAATTTTGATAGAAATAATAATTACAATAATAGTAATAATAATAGTAACAATACTAATATTATTAATATTAATAGTAATCATAATAATAGTAATAATAATGATAACAATAGTAATAATAGTAATAGTAATAGTAATAGTAATAGTAATAGTAATAGTAATAATAATAATAATAATAATAATAATAATAATAATAATTTTGTGTATATCTAGTCTGGTCTGATATGATATTATCTGGTATGATTTTAATAAGAATAAGTAATAAGCAGAAAAAATATGTTGAACAGAACGCTGCCTCACAAGAATTAAGATTTTCCTGTTAGGGCTGGTGGGCCCACCCCATTTCACAACAGGCCATCAATTAAAATTCATTAGCTTTACATTTCACATTTCGTCATATGTAGGGCATGTTTGGGATGACTTTTGACTGTTTTGACCCATTTTAGCGGATTTGACTGGTCAAACTGCCAAAGAAGGTGTTTGGTAGTTGTATATAATTTTAGTGAATAAATAAAAAATTATTATTTATAAAAATAAATAATTGGTATTCAAATAAATATATAAATAAAAAATCAATAAATAAATAAGTAAATAAAATAATAACTAAGAAAATAAATAAGTAAATAATATGTATATAAATAAAGAAATAAATAATATATAGTCATTCCCCATGTAAATTTTATGAATTGATTTGCTAGAAAAAAAATCTGATTTTTTTAAAGATTTTGGTGTAAAAATAAACAAATTATAAATTTAAGAACTACATCAAAACATTTTTGAAACAAAATATGATACTCCGTATAATTATATTCTTCTATCAATTGATTGATAAGAAACACATAAATAAATAAATAAAATCATAATAACTTTAGAATAATATATAGCTTACATTTTTATTTGAGGAAAGAAAGAATATATTGTTGAACAACTTACGCACCTCTAGAGGGGGGGGGGGGGGTGAATAGAGGTGTTCTTCAAAAATCAAAACTTTTGGAAGATTAAACAAAAAATTCACAGGATTATGCCAACCACAAGAAGACAAAGAAGAAGAGAAGGAGCAACACACGATGTATACTGGTTCGGCCTAAATACCTACATCCAGTCCCTGAAGCAATCGTGCCCAGGCCTTCACTAACCTGTCAAACTTAACGGATTTTGACAATCCGAATACAACTCGAGAACTTGATTTCACAAGCCTCTTATCTTACCACCAAAGTTTTGATTTCACAAAACTCGGGATTTCTTCCACCTAACGTTTGATTTCACAAACCGTTAGGATTTCTACCACTTGGTGTAATCCCAACACCAAGAATACAAATCCCTTACAATAAAGTAAGAAAACAAACCGCAACCGAGTAATTCTCCCAACACGGAGTAGATTGTTGCAAATACAATGAAGTCCTTTAGAATATGGCAATATCTCTCAAAGACTCAAGCAATGAGGAAAAACTCAAGCAAGAAATGATTTAGCAATCAAAACAATTGCCTTGCTTGGATATAAGGAGGGGTTTGAGTAGAATCTCTTTGGATATTCAAAGGATATGTTTTGAAGTNTTTTCAATGTATATTCTTGGCCAAAAACACGAGATAGGGTAGTTTATAGAAGTTAGGGAGTGGATATGGATGAAAAGCATTCAAAAAACTAGCCGTTTGGTAGTTGAAACTGTCGAACTATTCGACTAAGTCAAGACTTAGTCGACTAGTTTTGGTGAAACTGCAATCTGACTTATTCAACTAGTTCTGGATTTATTCAACTAAGTCAGAATAGAAGTTCAGGGATTTATTCGAATAGTTTTCAACTTATTCGAATAGTTTGCTGAAAAAATGTGTTTTAAAGGTAAGATGATAAGGGAATGAACCTTAGAGATGTCATACTCTTTAACACATAATCTAAGACCTAAAACACTACCCAACTAAGGAAACAACCTCTTCGGTCTCGTTCCTTCCACCGATGCTCAAGTCCCTTTTTTACGGACGGATATGAACTTGTTGTAGCTTTGATTCTTAGCCTTGATGCCCAATATGATGATGATGTTTTCTCACCCTTTTGTCATTATCAAAACCTAAAAGACAATTGGCAAAGGACATTGCAAAAATACATATTCATGATAGCACATTGTCCAACATATATATTCCAAAGCATGTTATACCATATAATTATATAGGTGAAAATTTCATTAAATTAGATTTAATTTATAAAAGCTATTTTGAAGAAGCTAAGTTTGCCTAACATTTTTTACCAACAGCCAACATAATCGATTGGTCAAAGCAGCTAACTCAATGTTTAGGCACGATGGACCGCCATGTTTTTGGTATATTTTCAATATTTTAGTTCTTTAATTTTTTTCCACTTTTAATTCTTATTCTGGGAATAAAACTATGGAATTTTTATTTTTGCATATTTTCTATGTTTTATTACTACTTTAGTCTTTTGTTCTTTATTTGATTTAATATCAAAATTAAGTAATTTTGACTGAAAAATATCAAAAGTGAAAAAATACAAAATACTAATGAAGGATAATATAGTTATGTTATTACTAGTTTTGTAAATAGTTTTATATATTTAATTTTTATTTTTTAATTTTACACCAGTTTTAATATAAAATGATTTTAAAATAATTTTAATCAAACATTATAAACTAAAACAAATAACTTAAATTGAGACATAAAATAATAATTATTTGAATATTTTTTAAAAAATGCTAGGAGTACACCAATGCACCTTAAAACCTTAAATTTTGGCACACCATTGGTGTACCCCTATGGTTTTTCTAGTTTAAAGTCTACAATTTTCGTTCAACCATTCATTTCAGGGTGCGGTTCATGAACAAGTGATCCCCGTGGAGCCCGAGAGGTTCCGTCCGTATATACCAAGTGGGTACCACAGCATGACACCATCACAGAAAGCGAAGCTATATCAGAGTGTGCTGATTGATTGGCTTCCTGAATGAGAAGAGAAGCCACTTGGCATTTCGCTTCTCTGTTTAATTTGTGCCTAGAAAGTGATAGAAAGAAAGAAAGAGAGAGAGAGGTGCCGTGGTCGACTCCTTCGCTTGTTCTCTGCTCGGCGGCGGCGGTGGCCATGGCGGCACCACCTTCTCACCCTTCTTCTCATCTAACCCACACGTCACCAAAAACCCATGCAACCATCCGACTCCTCTTCCCAATCTTTGCCCTGTTCCCAGCCATCGCCTTTTCTGGTGTTTATCCCCTCTTTTTCGGTTTTTTCTCTCTTTCTTTTTGTTCTCTAGATATGAAGATTTGTAATGTTGTTGGTATTCTTCGAGTCAATTATAGATACCCATTTCAGCATCTTTATATATGCATCTGTTTAGCTGATGTCAAGATTTGGCTATTTCGATTACTCTTTATGCATCTGTTTACTGATGTCAAGAATTATGGTTTCTTCTTTATGGGTATAGGGGAGTAAGTTTTGTGAACTTTTTTGTCCCTGCCAAGTGATTATTTATGTGTTCTCTCTATTTCTGCTTGTAGTTTCTGTAAACATTTATGGATTAACTATATCAATTTGCCAGGCATTGAAAATGAAGGCCCAGAATTTGATTTGTTCCCAGAAATCCTAAAGCAGGAGGCTGTGAAAAGGCTATATGAGCTTGGAAAGGTATTGGCTTGTTTCACTCTGTCATGGATCACTCTCTATTTAGATACTGGTAACCCAACAATTGAAAATGATTTCTGATTTCTACCGTACACAGTTTTTTCTTCATTTCTCTTGTTTCAATATTTTGTTACATATATTTGCACATCATTACTTTGCAGGTGAGTGATGCAGTGAACTATCTTGAGAGGACATTCCAGAGTCCTGCTTCTTTAAAAGCCGCAAACCTTATCCGTTCATGGATGGGGGATGCCGGTTTGAGAACGTGAGTTTTGCCTTGCTCTCACATGGTCTGTTAATATTTGGGAACCTTAATTATGTAAAGCAACTGATTCCAGATGGATTGACCACATGGGAAATGTTCACGGACGTGTTGATGGGATTAATCCAAGTGAGAAGGCTTTGTTGATTGGATCTCATTTGGTAATGCGATTTATCTGACTTGTTTTTTTTTGTTTTAATTTTATATTATTTTGTTATTTGCGCGCTATTTTGTTACCTCCGTGCCGTGAAATTGAGGATTGGCCACTATATGTTCTTAACAGGACACTGTTATCGATGCTGGATATTTTGATGGCTCACTAGGAATAATATCTGCGATATCTGCGTTGAAGGTCTTGAAAGCAACAGGACGGCTAGGGAAATTAAGGCAGCCAGTTGAGGTGAGATAGAAAGTCAAATTCTTCTTTAAAGATCTATAAGGCCACATGCTGAAACCTCCCTAAGAGCAATCTTTTGTTGAGGTGGTTTTATTGTCATTCATAAGGTTTTTAGTCCTTGATCTTTGAAGTGTCATATTTTGTTAATTGTTGTGTCGGCACATTTTTTTGATGATGTTGATTATATGGCCTACAAAGTATTATTTGATTGAGTATCAACTATGTCAACCAATCTTGACATCTTGATATTTACCATTAAATTGAAAATACTAATGATGATGGTTTTGGAACTCATATCATTCCTTAAAAAGGATGTGGCCGAAAGGCATCCGGTATTAAACTTGGCCACTATTATTCATAAATTTTATAGTGCTAATTAGTTTCAAACAATTAGTTAATTAACACTAAGATAAATATCTTGTCAGCAACCAAAATGTAGATGGGATTTAGGATTTCAGGTGATGATGCAACACATTGATTGTATAATCGTTATTTTGAGAGAAAAAAGTTGTTTGATTCAATGCAAAGCCAAATAGATCTTCTTAAGTTGTATCATTATACCTCCAAAGGAATTAAGTGATAGCTTATCTAATATTAGGCTCTCAATTTCCCCATCTTTTTCAGGTGATTGCTTTCAGTGATGAGGAAGGGGTTAGGTTTCAGTCTACCTTCTTGGGTAGTGCGGCTATTGCCGGTACATTACCAGTTACAACATTGCATATACATGATAAGGGGTTCGCATGTGTTACTTTATTAAACCTTACATATATACCTGTAAAAAAAATTATACTTAATGCTCCATAGTCTTCTAATAAGCTAGTATTGCAGTGGCATGACAGTTCAAGGTGCTCTCAGAGAAAACTCCATAGACATAACAGAAGAAACCCTATTGAAGCTCAAATATGACCAAGAATCTGTCTCAGCATATGTTGAAGTGCGTCGCGGAATCACATGGAGTGTGAAATATGTTGTTATAAGATGCTCAAGTTGGTCTTCGTGTTACTTATTACAGAGTATATATGTTTTTGCAGGTTCACATTGAACAGGGTCCGGTGTTAGAGAATCTTGGCCTTCCTCTTGGTTTAGTCAAAGGCATCGCTGGACAGACAAGGTTAAAGGTAATTGTCTTTTGTGCCGCTTAATAATTCATAAAGTTTATTTTTTTTATTTTTTTGTCATGATCTCTTTCTTTTTTGTTGTTGAGTGAAGCTTAAAGTGGAATATGCATCATTGTACTGTTCATTGCCTTTGAACTTTGAAGTGGAAGTATATAATACTTGTCAGCAAAATGCATTGAGGCAATACCATTCAAATCATGTATAGGATTGTGTTATCCAGTTTGGATTAGAAATTGGCCTGGATTTCCTTATATTGAGGAAATTCATCTTTTGTAGATGAGATCCAAGCTTTACTGAACAATCTTCACCAGAAGGTGCCATCGTTATAAAATAAGAGATATATAAAAAAGGGGTTGTGAAGTTCGTATTTTAGTTTTGATATTAGTTTATAGAGGCCGGTTCTTTTGACACTGGTCCTCAGTGTCATGTCATATGACACCGTGCCATTAGGGGGTGCCGTCCATTGGGCCCAGGACCGGGACCCACCCCATAAACCCAACCCTCCTGCCCCAATCAACCCCCCCCCCAGCATTTTGCCAAAATGATACAGTAAATGCTGTAGCATTTTGACGAAACCTTTCATTTTGTCGAATGTATTAATGTTTTTGGGTTGTCAATCTTGTAAATCGTTGCAATGTAGGTTATTGTGAGAGGCACACAAGGGCATGCCGGAACAGTGCCCATGAATATGCGCCAAGATCCTATGGTTGCATCAGCTGAACTGATTTTGCTATTGGAGAACCTTTGTAGACGACCCGAAAGTTATCTCTCCTATGATGATCAGTGCCCATCATCAACAGTGAAAGCTCTTGCTGGGTCTCTCGTTTGTACTGTCGGAGAAATTTCAACTTGGCCGAGTGCAAGTAATGTCATCCCAGGCGAGGCAAGTAGTACTCCTGAAACTTAGAATGCAGGTGGCATTCCAATCTACTCCCTCTGTCCCAATTTATTTTTCTCATTTGGAAGAACGTCCTAAATATCATCTCTTTTAAAATTATTTTATTTACACATTGGTATTAAAATAAAAAGTACAAATTACACCACTAAAAACTACATTAAAAGTTTGACAAACCAATTGGTGATAAGAATATTTTATTTTATCAAATGATCGATGAAAACATGCATATAAACACTGTAATAGTAACTAGGAAGATTAATTTGGGACGGAGGGAGTATATAGTACATTACGAGTTTTATCGATTTAGGAACCGAAGGATATGTTACTCTATCAAATCAGAATTCATAATCTCAAAGAAGAAAACACTCCATTTTGGTTATGCATGACTGAAATTATCAAATCCATGACTTTAAAAAAATCATGAATTTCGCTTCCTTTAAACTTTTTACCCATAAGAAATTCTTGAATATAATTCATGATTGAATTTCTATTGAAAAATAACATATTAATACCCCATAGCTTAAATCATTCAGGTCCTTAGTTGATAGTTATCATCTTCTCTTTAACTGATAGCTAATCTATCTTTCAAGTTATGAACCTATAAAACTCCTAAGTTGTATATTTGTATCGTTTTCTCTTTGGGGGAATGATTTATATGACCAAATGTGTTTACAGGTAAAATTCACTGTAGACATACGTGCAATGGATGATACAGGGCGGGAAGCTATAATTTATGAATTTTCAAAACGCATGCATCAACTATGCGACCAGCGTAATGTTTACTGCCTTATTGAACGGAAGGTGAAAATCCCATCTCTATTTTTTTTAATGTGCCAACATATCGCACAAACCTGTCTGTGTGTGTTTTTTTAATTGACGAGTACTTAACAATTAGATGTGTGAATTGTTTAAACAGCATGATGCAAATGCAGTGCTTTGTGATCCCGAATTGAGTTCGCAGCTAAAATCTGCAGCCGGTGTTGCTTTTAGAAGGATCAACGGGGAGACAACAGATGATGTGCTCGTGCCTGTGTTGATGAGTGGGGCTGGACACGATGCAATGGCAATGTCTCATCTAACCAAGGTATGCTCCGAAAGGAATTTAGGGTGGGATTTACGAGGTAAACATAAGTTTTTTGTTTAATTGAAAAATAAAACTGATATATTTAAAGACTATATCATAAGTTCTATGAAACAAGTGACTTGACTTCCCTACAACAGCAACAACAACAGTCTTCTCCCACTAGGTGGGGTCGTCTAAATGGATCAATCGACGCCATTGCATTGTATCATGTATCATATCTTTTGTGAGGTAATTCACGTGAAGGTCTGTCTTGAGTCTTGACCACTTCTTGCCAAGTCTTTTTAGGTCTATCTCTTCCTCTAGCCACATGTCTATTCACCATTTGCTCTATTGGTCTTCTCTCTACATTTCCAAACCACCTAAGAAGAGTTTCCACTATCTTTTCTACAATAGGTGTCAGTTTAACTTTAGCTCTCATATCTCCATTTCTTATTCTATCCGGACGCGTATGAGTGTCCATCCAACGAAGCATTTTTATTCCCCCCACACTAACCTTGGGTTCATGTTCACCCTTCGCTGTCCAACACTTTGTTCCATACAATATAGTTGGTCTAATCGTACTACGCTAAATTTTTTTCTTTGGTTTTAAATGTACTTTTTGTCACATACAAAGTCAAATGCACTCCGCCATTTTGACCAACTAGCTTGAATCCTATGGCTAACATCATCCTCTATTGCTTCATTGTCTTGAATGATACACCCAAGATATTCAAATCTCTTTACTTGTGGTATAGTATATTCTCCTACTTTCAACTCGATGTTACTATCTCTCCTTCTGTTGCCAAATTTGCACTCCATATACTCTGTTTTAGTGCGACTTATACACAAGCCACGCAACTCCAAAACCTGTCTCCACAAATCCAACTTTCCATTCAAATCCTCTCGTGATTCGCCCATAAGGATGATGTCATCGGCAAAAAGCATGCACGATGGTACATGTTCTTGGATATGCTCGGTAAGAACGTCTTATACTAGTTTAAAAAGACATTGGCTTAACGATGACCCTTGGTGTAATCCTACACCGATAGGACCATCGTACTTCCGTAAACAAAGTTACATGACTATGTTTTTTGTCAAATAATCAATGAAAACACATAAATAACAGAAGTTATCGTGACATTAGAATATTTAGTGTAAATGTAACTAATAAAGTAATGAAGAAATGGTGTTTCATTCATTAGAGGTGTGAATGTTGGTTGGTTTGTGTAAACAGGTTGGGATGCTGTTTGTGCGCTGCCGGGGAGGTGTCAGTCATTCCCCGGCGGAACATGTGTTGGACGATGATGTTTGGGCGGCTGGCACGGCGGTCTTGGCATTCCTTGAGACACTCTTGTAAGTAGATCAGCTGTAGCATGGAGAGTTTGTAGTCTAGGTATAGAAAACCTTGAATTGCTTGCTTACCAATTCCATCAATGTTTCAACTGTGAATGTGTATTGTCTTTCCATTACTGTTTCACTTTTTCTTTCTCTCTTTTCTTTTTTCAATAATTAAATTAATTTTAATTACAGGGGAAATATTTGCTTGCATTTCCAGTTTTCCAAAACTTTGTTATTCATTTACACTATGTTTGGTTCAAGAAATTTGAAAAGGAAAAGAAAAAAAATGAAGTGGAAAACAATTTTTCTTGTTTAGTCAGAGGAGAAAAGAAAAGGAAAGTGGAAAGAAAAGAAGATGAGAAGTCAAAATGTACCAAATGCAGGAAAAACTAAATTCTTTCCATTTTAGTGAGAAAAAAATGAGAGTAAATTGTTTTCTTTTTTTCTTCCTAATTCCTTGAACCAAATATAGTGTTATTGTTTTCACTTACACTATACAATTGAGGTTGTTTTAGAGCAAAAATACGCTGAGTAAAAATATATGAGTAATACAGTATCCACAATTCCACATGAGAGCATGTTTAGGTTGTGCTCCATTCAACTTATTTTTTCTGTTTATTACTTATTCTTATTATAATCAGATCAGACCAGAATATCAGAACAGATCAGAAACATCTTTAATTATAACTACAATCAGATTAGACCAAATCAGATCATCAAAAAATCAGATCAGATCAGGCGAATAGAACACAGCTTTAGGCCCCATTCCATTCAACTTATTTTTTCTGCTTTTTTCTTATTCTTATTAAAAGCAGATCAGATCAGACCACATCAAATCAGATCCAATCAGATCAGATCAAGATTTATTATTATTATTATTACTATTATTATTATTATTCTTGTTGTTATTATTATTGTTGTTATTATTATTATTATTATTATTCTTAAAAATGAAAAAGAATAAACTTTAAAAACAAGTTAAATAGAAAACTGAGAAAGTAATCTTTAATTATTAGACGTCGAAAAAATTATTTTCAAAATACATTGACAAGGCCAATCTAATTTTACTTTTAAAATACATTTTTATTGCTACCTGTAATTTGAGTTTCTAATGTTTTGATCTTTTATTATATCGAGTTGATAAACTTTGATCATGACTTAAATAAAATTAACATTTGATATTCATATACGGAGTATATTTTAGTGTAACTGAAATAACTATTATATCTATGGTGTTATTTTAATCATACAAAAAGTTTCGTAGTACAAAGCACACGTTGATATTATATAAGGATGAGATATTTTAATAAAAATACTATATCTTCTCTATATTGATGATCTAAATTTAATTACTTTTTAATATATATATGAATTCAATATTATATATGAATTCAATATTTATTCTAATGTATGAACTGATTATTGTTGATAGTGTAAATTTCCTAACCGAGTAAACAGTACTAGAACGGATCTAGGATTGTTTACTTGATTCGACAAAGTTAAAGGTAAAAACACACAAATTGACTGGGAGGACTGGAAGTGGAAACACCTGTAGCCCAATTAATATTATAGTAGAGAATGCACGAGAGCTTTTACAAGGGAGTTTAGAGAAAAGAAAATTGGATCCCTTCCTTTGAAGGTTACATCAGTATTTATACTAAGCCAAAGGGGACAAACCACCGCTCATCCACATCAGGGCACGTTCCTGGATGGTGGGAGGTGATTTCCCTTGTCCTTTAGCTACCTTGTCACTTAGTGAGGAAGGTGACTTCCTTGTCATGTAGTGCCTTGGATGGATTACTCAAGCATCATCAATGATTCTCCGTTGATTTTGGTCGCTACGGTCCAAACTTCTTTGGATTCTTCTCTACCGACACTTTTCAACCCTAGAAATCATACCGGGTAATTCTTGAAGGATGGATTTAGTGAAGTTGGGGAGTGAATTAGTCGATAAAGTAGTTTGATTGGTATACTATCTGAAGTATACTGGTCAACTTTTTTGGTCAACCGAGCATCCTTCTACTGACGATTGAGGTCTTCCTTTAAAGAATAATCTACTTGACCGGCCAAACATTTGGACATTACCTTTGACCGGTTCTGTGTGGAATACACCCATCAATTATAATATTAAATCAATATTCTTATTTCATAAAAAAATAATCATAAAATAAAAAATATTACTCCCTCCGTCCCAGAGTATTTGTCCACTTTTATTTTTACACACCATCCAATACACTTCTTTAATCCATTTTATCTTTTAATTTGTATATTAAAAAATTATAGAAATTATATATTAATAATCTATATGCTAAGAAAAGTCAAACAAGATCACACATGACTATATTTAGGCTTACAAATTGAGAGAATTGGATGAGTCAAAGTACTTAGATGAACAGTTCTAAAAGTCAAAACTGGGCGAATACTCCGGGACGGAGGTAGTATTACATTATAGTATGAATGATTATTCTAATATATGAATTAACTAATTTTATTTAATTAAAAATAATCATAAAATAAAAAATATTGGTCATATTATAATATGATTTATCATTACAATTGTCAAACATTATTATAAAGTCAAATCAAATTATTGATTCGAATTTTAAATCAAATCATAATTAATCAGATGAGACCAGATTGGATCAGATCAGATCCAATCAGATCAAATCTAATCAGATTAGATCAGATTAGATCTCATCAAATCAGATCCAATCAGATCAGACGAGATCAGATCTAATTGGATTAGATCAGAACTACAAAAAATCAGATCAGATTTGAAAAAATAAGTTGAACGGAACGGAGCCTTATTTCTCCCAATTTCCCCTCTCTTCTTTTGATGATACTTCCTCTGTTCATTGTAGATCTTCTCGAATTGATTTTTTAGAGTTTTTAAAAAAAGTTTAAAAAAGATGAAATTTTACTAAAATATCTTTATTGAAAGTGGGTGGAGTATATTAAATATGGTGAGTGAGATGTAATAAATAAAATGAGAATAGTTGTGTTATTTTAAATGTTAAAAGGTAATGAAAAATTTTTTCTAAACAAAGGAAAAAACATTTGAGAAGATCTATGACGAACAAAGGGAATACATTTAGATTCATTCTTAACTTTCCTCGCATCATTTTAGTGGTTCTTCTCACTTCCTCTTCTCTCTTTTAATGGTGAGCATCACAAGTTATAGATTTATTTTATTTACATAATTTAACTTTTTTAAATTTATAATCAACATATAAATTACTCCTATTTTAGAAAAGAGTTAATATATCTATTTTTTAGTCTGTGTAAAATATGTAAGTTTTGTTTTTACTCCAAATCCACATATTCTTAAACTATGAAATAGCACCCTTAGAATTATTATCCTCAATTTCATACTCTCTCCGTCTCTAAATATTTGTCACACTTGTATTTCCGAGACAAAATATCAAGTTTTTTCAATTCATTTTATTTACATGTTGGTATAGAAATACTTCCTCCGTTCCTAAATATTTGCAACGTTTGCTTTTTTAGCGTCGCGGGAACTTTTGTTTATTTCTACGTTTTCATTGGTTATTTGATAAAATAAAATATTTTTGACACCTCTTATTTCGAAGAACTTTTCATGTAGTTTTTTGATATGTAAATTTTATTTTTTATTTCTATACCAATTTGTAAATAAAATGAATGAAAAATTTTGATATTTTATCTCGGGAATACAAGTGTGACAAATATTTAAGGACGGAGGGAGTAAAAAATAAAATTTATATATCAAAAAATTACATGAAAAGTTGTTCGAAATAAGAGGTGTCAAGAATATTTTAATTTATCAAATAACCAATGAAAATGTAGAAATAAAAAAAAGTTCCCGCAACTGCTGAAAAAGCAAACGTTGCAAATAATTTGGGACGGAGGGAGTAATTTAAATTTAGTATAGAATTGCTACCAGGTCTTTGGACTATTTAGCAACAGTCCCGCTAGGGGTACACCGTACGGGTACCCCAAAATCACGACCATATACACCCACACGGCCAAACCCCCCACCCCCACTTCCCCACCCACGTTAGTTTCCCACCTTTTTTCCTTACCCATTCCCTCTCTTCCCTCGCACGATTTCTCCGCTGTCGTCAACTACCCTAGATTTCTGACACAATCGATTTCTCTCACCGGACCGCCATCGGATGTTACGGCCGGCCGTCCATCCTGTGTCGCCGGCAGAAGAAGTAAACGGCGTAAGGAAGTCCATCGTGTTCCTGAGAGTCGCGCACATCAACACCAGTTTCCGTCACCATCATCGTCAATCATCATCACAATCTGGAAGCTTTGCTGTAGGAGTGTGTGCGTGATAATGTACGAAGAACCTCTGGTCGTCCCTATGTTTGCAGGTAAGTTAAGCCGTACAGTAAACAGTTTATGAACCTCTGTCATTCTAATTTTCAATTTTGTAACTCACACAGAGACTATGATGTATATGAAGTTGTAACACAGATGAAAAGTGTTTGTGAAAATCTTAAAGAATGGAATTTTTTGGGAAAATAGTCCTTTAATGTAAGTGGATGAGGATTTTTCGTAGTAGTCGTATTGAACCATATTTAAAAGGAACACGAAGGGGTAAAAGATTATTTTGTTTGTCACTCTGTTTTCACAGACAGTATGTTATTTAAATTAGAGCGTCACAGACATTTAATGTATGTAATAATTGGAATAAGGGGAATTGTAGTGTTCTGACAGGTCTGTTGGTTTTTGACGAATATAGTTGTTATATCCATATGTTTGGTTAGACAACTACGTGTTTACAGTATTTCAACACAGACATACAATGTACATAGTATATGGAACCGAGAAAATTTAGCAAAGTATGTGCTTAAGGTTTGTGCTTAGGGTTTCACAGACAGTGTGGTATTTCATGAGGTGTAAAACAGACATTTACTGTATGTGATAATTGGAACTGGGAATTTTAATGTTGTGATTTGTTTTTCTTTGACAGATTTAATAGACATTGATGACATAGATCCTGTACTTGACATCTCTTTCATTGACATGTTGGATGGGTGCGAGGAAAACAACAACACAACGGGGCATTGTAAGTTTCAAGTTTATATCACCCTCCTCATGGTAAATATCATTAATACTAAGGTATTATATTGTTTTCTAGGTTTTGAGATGGACATGTCCAGAGAGCCATGTGTTGAAGAACACGGAATTGATGGAAATGTTGGAAATGTTTGTCCAGAAACAG